GAAATAAAGTTTGTGTATCTAAATCGAAAATAAAACGGCCGATGGAGGACAGAGGAGATGTAATGACGCGGGAGCGCCGGCGGGACAGGCGCGCGCGGCGGGACAGGCGCGCGCAGCGCTGCACGCGGCAGGACTCTGCGCTTTGTCTGCGCAAAGAGAAAGGACACAGCTCTCTCACCGCAGCACACACACGGACAACCCACAGCACACACACAGCACCACAGAGGAATTTACCATGGGTCGCAGGAAAGGATCAACGCCTGCGGCTGGAGCAAAAAAGCCCGGGACGAAATCAAACGCAGAGAAAAAGAGCGACGAGGAGAAGCGATCACGGCAGGCAGCAGCTTTCCGTACGGTCATGGGGTGGGCAGACACAACAACACGGAAGCGTCAGCGAGTCAGTTGCGAAGGTGCTACCAACGACGAGGAAAGTGCGGGTGAGAGGAGTACACCGACGACGATATCTGACGTCGGAAGAGGCAGTACGAGCCAGGCAGTACATGCAGTTCGTGGGGCATCAAATATCTCCGCAACCGCTTCAACCCAGTCGCCGTCTTTCAAGGGGAAAGGCAAGGGGAAAGCTCGTAGAGAACGTCCCGTAGGAGCAGCGGCATCAGAGGTAGTTGCAGCAACAGAGGGGCCGGAAGCAGGAGGGACAGTAGAACCAGCTGCAACAGTAACAGCAGGAATGCCACAAGCACCAACAGCAACATCACCAGCAGCGGCAACAGCAACACAAGCGGCAACAGCAGGAGTAACGTCAGCAAGCCCACCACCATCTACCGCACCTGTTCCTCAACCACCGGCACCGCTACTAGCGGCTGGGGCGGCGGCGTTACAAGGGGAACAAAGATGAGGACGAGGTGGCACTGCAAGTTCTAGTCCCTGTGCTGAAACTCGACCAACAGCTGCGGCAGGAGGCACGGCAGGTGCCGTTACAGGGGGGACGATAGCTCAAGCTGCGGCTGTGGCGGCGGCGGCCGTCGGAGCAGCAAGCATAGGTCAAGGCAGTGGCAGAGCTAGACGGGAAACACAAGGAGGTGGGAGTGCAGGGGGGGGCGGAGGAAGGGGTAGTGGACGAGGAGCACCGATGGGGGTACGAGAGGCTGGGAGAGGGGCAGCGGCACGGGCAGGTGGAGCGGCGGGAACGTCAGCTCCCCCTCCCGTCGGCGGGGGTGGTGTTGAGGATAGCCAACGGTTGTCTCCGGCAATGCGGGATCATTTCCGTACCGTCAAGAAGAACATCGACGCTAACATCATCCATCACAGCGGCGGCGTGGCGGCACCTAGGGGAGGCAGTGGAAAGTTCCCCTACAGCAGCCCCCTCATTCTCCCGAAGTGTGCTACGATGCAGAACACCTCAGGTATGCACCCGACGTCCGGGTTTCCTTTGCTGCTTTGAACAGCAGTTTTGTACTCCTGGCGATTGACCGCTTTCCGTCCATAAGCTACGCGAACTCGGTTTTCGTTTCTCATGCCTCCATGACCGCTGTCCACTACGTTTTTGCGCAGGATTGCCGAAACTTTCTCCGTTCCTTCTGAAGCCACTGCTTGTTCGCGTGGATACCCGAGTATTNGTACGCGAACTCGATTTTCGTTTTTCATGCCTCCATGACCGCTGTCCACTACGTTTTTGCGCAGGATTGCCGAAACTTTCTCCGTTCCTTCTGAAGCCACTGCTTGTTCGCGTGGATACCCGAGTATTTGTTCCCGGAGCTAGCGCTGGCGGGAATTGCGTGTCCAAGGTGCGGGAAAAGGGGTTCGCCAGATGGATGGAATCCCAAGGGGCCACGGCGGGTGTTCATGGAGGAAGACGTGGGGTACATCATAGGATTCCGGTAAGCCCAGTCAGCGTGAGGTTTTTTGGTGGTACGCCGAGTATGTGGTGTGTTACAATTTGTAAACCGCGCGGATCAGTTCGCCGCCTGTTTGACTGTCGGCTGTCCCGCTTGTTTGTTCGCAGACAGGTACAAGTGCGAGCGGTGTGTCGAATACAACGGGACCGTGGAGGAGTCGGAGCAGCGCCCTACCAGTTTCAACGCGTGGGATGTCGGATGCCTGGATCGCCTCCCTGACTACGCGTCGAAGGAATTTCCTTTTATTCTCACTCATCGGTCGGGTATCGACATTCGTCTTGTCGACCGGCTCGCNATATGTGGTGTCTTACAATTTGTAAACCGCGCGGATCAGTTCGCCGCCTGTTTGACTGTCGGCTGTCCCGCTTGTTTGTTCGCAGACAGGTACAAGTGCGAGCGGTGTGTCGAATACAACGGGACCGTGGAGGAGTCGGAGCAGCGCCCTACCAGTTTCAACGCGTGGGATGTCGGATGCCTGGATCGCCTTCCTGACTACGTGTCGAAGGATTTTTTTCCTTTCATTCTGACTCATCGGTCGGGTATCGACATTCGTCTTGTCGACCGGCTCGCAGACGACCTGGCCCATGGGAAGGGCTTCTCCGCCGCTGCCAAGTACATCCGCCAGGTAAATTTGCGTATCATTCTTTCATTTGGTCAGGGAAGTTTCGCGAAACACTGTTCCCGGTACTGTCTACGACGTGCCGTTCTGAAACATGTTGCACCCCTCCCGCCCCAAACTTATCGCATGCTCAATAATTTGTGCAGGCACACACGACGAAGATTATGGTGTATCAACTGAAGTACGTGTCACTGGCTGATGCCCGGCGATCGAGCCGGGTGAGCTTGTTCGGAGCGGCCCCAGTACCAG